GCAGGAGGATTGCAAATTAAAGGCAGGCTTTGGCTACAGAGTGCGTAAGAAAAAGGCCAACCTGGGAAACTTAGTGAGAGCCTGTCGCAAAATAAAAAGTAGAAAGAAGGCTGGGGATGCAGGTTAGTAGCAGAGCACTCGCCTAGCATGCACAAGACCTCGAGTTAAGCCATCAGTGCTGAAAAATAAATAAAAGCAAAGGCTAATGGAATAAAAAGGTTTCTGACAGTCAGTGGTGATAAACTCAGAAGTGGATCCCTTTGCTATCTTCTCAATTTTTCCTTCCATATACAAACATAGTCAAGATGACCACAATGCACTTGCTATTTGTGTGTGACCAGAGGAAAGTGTTCATCACTTTCCATCAACTATTAAGGTCACTTTTAACCACTCTGCTAAGTTTACATTATTGAATGTAAACTCTGTCTGTCTCTCTCTGTCTCTGTCTCTGTCTCTCTCTCTCTGTCTCTCTCTCCCCCTTTCTGTTTCTCTCTCTCCCTCCCTCCACCCCCGGGGAAGGAGTCAATCTCTTTTATATCATCCTTGAGAAGCAGGCTGGTGGGGACTGCGGTTGACTTGACAATGATGACCGGTCATCAGATGCCTCATGGGAGAAAGGAAGTTCACGCTTAGGAACATAAAAATCTAAACGTAAGCACATCTCTAACCTGCTCGAGCAGCTGCCATTTTCTTGTTCCGCATTTTGTTCTCCAAAGCTTGCTACACAGTAAAAAAGGAGAGAAAGGGAAAATTAGATTTCCTGCTATTTTCTACTCTTACCGATGGTAAACACTTTAAAAAAAAAAAATTGTATCCCTACCAGTTTCATCTTCCTTTTTAGATCCAGATTTGCTGCTTTCTGGCCCTTGGCAGTAGCATTGAGATAACAGATGGCCAAACTAAATTTAAAAATAAAATAAAATTGAGGGTACTTCTATTTCCCAAGATCCTTTCCCAAGTTCATATTAACTAAATCAGACTAACAAGAATGTACCTGAGGTATTTCCCATCTACAACTTCTTATTCTGCAGGTAAGAACTGAGGTCCAGAGGAGTAAAGAGATGAGTACCCAGAACCCAGGCTGGGGGTGGGGGCAGCTAGCCTGGAGGGAGGCTGAGGCAGGAGGATTGCAAGTTCATGACCTGGGCTACATTTCAAGTTCAAGGCCAGGTTGGAAACCTTAGTGAGACCTTTGGGAGGTAATGGTAGACCACTTGTAGAGCATGTGTTGGCCACATATTCACTCCCCATATTATTAAAATAAAGTGCGGTGAGAATTCCATGGTGACTAGGATGAACCTAGAAAGGTGGCCCAAAGGTTCTGCTCTGCCAGCTACCACACTGTCCTATTCCACAGTTCAGTCTTAGCTTTTTGGAAGAGCATTATCATCCGTTAAAGTATTACGGCCACTTTCTCATCAATGGCAATGGCAACAAAAGAAACGGCAAATCTGATGAAGTTTAGGGACTGCAGCGACTATTTCTACTTTAAATGCCTGCTTTGATAGTTACAGGAAAGAATACAATCCTCATGGGCATCCTTGATTAACATGGACTTTTTTCCCCATAAAATATATTGTTTGTGTTTCGCCCTCCCTCAAAAAAGATGTTTTCCAAAGGAA